TCGGCAGTTCTCTCACTTTCACTTTCAATTTGGCGCTCTTTTCTTTTTATTGATATAATTTTCCTGTTTCCTATTACTTTGCTTAGTTTCTGGATGGCATATTTCGCTAGTCACATATTTCTTCATATTTCTGTTTCACATATTATACTGCCTGTCACTACATTACCCAGATATTTGATTCTCTGTACCCACTTTTTTTAGAAATATCAGTTTGGGCTACCTATTTTACAGACAACGATTCGATGCATACTGTCTTCTTGCAGTTAATAGTTAGTCCTTTCTTCTTGCTTTCCTTATCTAATAGTTCTTTAGGTTTTCTGAGTCTGGCATCAACACTGTGTCATAGCCGTTTCCTCAACAGAAACATTTGGCATTCAATGACTGAGTAGCCATTGCTATTGTTGGTTGCATGAGATCTTTATATGAAAAAAACTTTTTCAAGAAAATAGGTTTCGGAAGTCCACCAATTATTATCGCTCTTCCCAGTCCTGATAGGGGTTTCTTTCCTAACCTTTTGTTTGATGAAGTGTGGAATGTCTGCATCTTGATTATGGCATTATTTTCTCTTCGACTTACATGCGATATCCAGTTTATTTGTTGCTGTTGTTGAAAGCCCTCAAGTGTCGATGTTTCTGTTATTTGATACAGTTCTTTGTGATTCTGTTGCGCCAGTCCTTATGGTTCGAAGAAGGATGACCCTCGCCGAGATCTACAGGTTTCATTCGCTCAAAGTCATTTAATCATTGATCTGAGATTTTATATAGCTGATAATTTAGATATTTTGGAACGAATTTGGCGCCATTCATGACAACCATATGTAAATTTTGATCTGTCGACGCTATTTGAGAACAGAACTCGAGTTCTTAGATTAATGTTTTGGTTTTGTAGCAATTTCCAATGCTCAGTGAAACTATATCTAGCGCAACCTCTTCTATGTTCAATTTTCTTACCTCCTATAATAAACATGTTATAACTGGTCCATATAACGAAGAATCTGGGAACTCCGACGTGACGTAATGGTTAACAGGTTTGTCTAGCTAGATCAATTATGACTGAATAGTGATTTCGATGATCACTGGGTGCCCCATAATTCAGCATAGTGCCACATTTAAGATAGGCTTAGGAAATCACTATAGGGCACATCGATGTGGTGCAATCGTTAGCAAAATTGTCTCGCTAGAACAATTATGACTTAGTAGTGAGTTCGATACTCACTGGGTGCCCCATACATTCGGACTTGCTGACATATCTAAGCTACGCTTACAAAATCATTGGGCACATCGAAGTGGTATAATAGCAAGCTTGACTCGCTGGAACAACTACGACCGAGTAGTGAGTTCGATCCTCACTGGGTGCCCCGTGCTTTCAGACTTGTGCCAATGCTGCTTTCATTCCAATTCCAGATTATAGTTTCTGTTTTAAAAGTTTTATTTTGAGTCCGATTTCTTTTTGTATTTTTGTTCAAAATCATTCTCATCCCAAATATAAATAACTATGTTAACACCATACTCCCCCGCACACCTCATCATCAGTACCCTTGCCTAGGGAGTGGAAGCAAGAATGCTGTTTTCTATTTGTAGATACGTTTGGAATATACATTGCCACATACATTATATTACCTGTTCCCGGTCTGTAACCAACAGACATAACACGTACTTATGCTAATTACCAAATACAATACTCCTGTCTACGTTTCGGATATCAGGCCATAGGGAGGAGGGCTACATTTCAGTGAAGGTGGCTTGCGTGTGGTGCAATCAATTTCGCTGGTTCCTTTCCTTCTCCACTGGGATGTGTCGTCTAGTGAATGTAGTTTGTTGTGTTGCTCGAGAGAAAATTACAAGCCGTGGCTTTGTTGATCTAGGCCAAATGAACCTCGGACGATCTTGCTGAAAAAGTTGTAAATGCGCCAAAGGAAAGAAAAGCTGTTGAAAACTTATGAACAATTTAATTAAAGGTAAAATGTCAAATTGTACAGCATCTATGGGGCTGGTTTGTTTCATTCAATCCTTTTCTACCCTTGAGGCACTGAGAGCCGTCTATTTGCTGGTGGTCTTACAGCAGACTTATTCTAATGCACGATGCTTGAAAGGAGTATGCCGGTTTTCGCTGGGCGTTCTACTTCTACTATACTCTCTAACTTCTCGCCAACTGTCTGACTCCAACCTCCTACTCATTCGGGCGGATGCGTACACTAACTGCCGTCAGGGAAATAGACAAGAATAAGTAAATTCTCAAAGAAACTGTTAGATAACCCAGATGGCTGTATATGAATCGCTTTCCAGATTTAGCCTGAATTTTTAAGTTTCCAAAATTACATGGAAATCAATGCAACCCCTAGAGTAACCAAAAATCCTGTGGACTTTTAGCAAATTCATTATCATATCAGTTATGGAGTAGTGCCGGGGTGTCCGTTATGCTAAATCATACTAAATCTTACGTGGTTTAATTTGAATTCAAACTCTTCCTTCTATGAGTACAGGGGCTGCAAAAGTAGGTGTACAGTAAGTATTATTCTTGGTTATTCTTATGTTTGTAAAATCAATACAATACGTTTTGTATTTCACGTTTTTAGCATCACGTATATTTTATCGGCTTAAATTAATATTTTTAAACGGTCTTTTTTTTTTCTATCGGACACTAATCCGAATAATCACTCTCCCATATTTCCTCTTTCTAATAGCTCTGCACGTTCGCTTTGAATTATGAAATTTCTCATCAAGTCCCTAACCACATTCCATGCACTAGTATGACTCAACCAGGGCCACTATTCTCTTGCACTAAAGAGACGGGTGTACAGTAGTAATACCGTTACCAATGCAACCGACGGTTGCGAGGTCTGGATTACTTTTGGACCTGGCTCGGGTGCACACGATCGAGCTTCCCACATTAAACTAAGCTTGTGTCACATCCTGCCAGCGTGGGGCGGCAAGTAAATACTAAGTGTAGAATCTTTTCTCCTCTTCTCTTACGGCCATAGCTATATTAGCCGTTTCATTATAAGGAAATATTAAGCATTCCTTGTCCAAGCAGCCAGTACTACTCCAGTTAGGCTTTTTGTCACTCTCTGGTGATCGGTCTGTGATCAATATGCCGTATTTGTTCTCCTCATCTCGAATGGTCCTATTAATATTAGCCGTTTCCTTATATGGAAACATTCGGCACTTATTGTTCGACAAGCCAGTACTACATGAGTTACGCTTTTCTTTATTTCCAGTCCATTGGGTTGGGATCAAAATGTAGTATCTGCTTTCGGGCGTACAAACTACATTTTATCTCTCAATTGTCTCTTTTTACAGGCAAAGTGCAACTGAAAATATTATTGCATGGTACCCGGTCTCTGGGAATAGCAGCCCGCCAGCAGTACCCGCTCAATGCACTAAAGAGGGTGATCGGTATTAATGCCGATGCCAGTACAACCGACGTTTACCGAGGCTGGTCTAATTTTGGACCTGACCCTGTAAACGTACACAGAATCACCATATTAAATTGACCTTGTGTCACATCCTGCCAGCGTGCGGTGCGACAAATAAATACTAAGTGTGGTACCTTTTCTACGCTTCTCTTACGCTCATGGTTCTATTAGCCGTTTCCTTATAAGGAAACATTAGGCATTCATTGCCCGAGCAGATAGTACTACTCGAATTACGCTTTTCTTCACTCCCTGGTGATCGGGGTGGAATCAATATGTCGTAATGTTCTCCTCATCTCGAATGGTCATATTAATATTAGCTGTTTCCTTATAAGGAAACATTCGGCACTTATTGTCAGACAAGCCAGTACTGCATAAGTTACGCTTTTCTTTATTTTCTGTCCATCGGGTTGGGGTCAAAATGTAGTACCTTCTTTCGGGCGTACAAACTACATTTTATCTCTCAGTTGCCTCTGTTTACAGGCAGAGTGCGACTGAAAATATTATTGCATGGTACCCGGTCTCTGGGAACAGATTCCCGCTGCAGTACCTCCTTCATTGCACTAAAGTATTGGGATCGGTAGTAATACCGATACCAGTGCAACCGACGAAGGTTTGGGTTATTTTTGGGACCTGGCCCGGGTGCACGCGCTCGGGCTTCTCACGTTAATCTGACTTTGTGTCACACCCTGCCAGTGTGGGTGGGTCCAAGTAAATACTAAATGTGATATCTGTTCTCCTCATTTGAGATAGAAGAAGGCGCCTCGTTCCGCGCATTCCAACCCTATGACAATACCGTCCTCGTTGCAGATAGGTGAGAGCAGCGTAATATCGATACCAGTGTGACAGTGGTTGCGGGGTCTCGGCAATTTGTGTCCCTTGGCCACATGTACGTCTATGGGCTCCCATATAAAAAAAATACTTTGTATTACACCCTACCTTAGTGTGGAGGTCAGGTAAATAAAATTTTTGTAAAGAATTCTCTAAAACCGTGCACCTTTTAATAATATTTTCAGTTGCGCTCTCTTCGAAGACAGAGACAAAACTAAGAGATAAAATATAGTTTATTTTCCCGAGGACTGATACCACAGAAGAAAAGCTTTACAAAGATGTTAGATGAAACGAAATAATAACATTATTTAAGTCAGAAAAAATACTCAAGAAAAGCTGGAGTATAGAAGTGATTTGCTATCACTTGATCTCTACTGGTGTGTAATGTCAATGGGTACACAATGATAAACGCGGTTGTTATTGATATTTTTAGTTTTATGTGAATAATGAGACTTAGAAACTTTCCAGTTCATCGCAACGTTTTTGTCTCCATTCCCATTTGTGGGCAAAGAAAGATACAATATAGAAAGCAATGATTCATTTTTCTCCTGAGAAACAATCTCAGAGCATATAACTTATTTAGTGGAATTCTTTCAAAGCAGTAAAAGTAAAAATAGTTGTGTTCTTTTTATATATATATATTCTTCCCTGATATTTTTTTATCTGTTCACATTTTTATCTATCTCTTAGCTTTTCTTTATCTATCACACACAGATGAACTTAAGTTTAGAAATGGTACGTATGTAACACGATATTTATGAAGCAAGTCTCGCAGATCAATGACTTTTTTTGGGTCGCTATCTATCTGGTCTTTTTATCTATCTATCTATCTATTCACTTTTCTTATCTATCTATACGTCTTTCTTCATCTATGTATTCGCTTTTCTTATCCATCCATACGCCTTTCTTCATGTATCTATATACCATTCTATCTATCTATCTATCTATCTATCTATCTATCTATCTATCTATCTATTTGCTTTTCTTATCCATCTATACGTCGTTTTTATCTATCTCTCTATTCGCTTTTCTTATCTATCTACATGCCTTTCTTCATCTATCTATCTATCTATCTATCTATCTATCTATCTATCTATCTATTCACTTTTATCTAACTATACGTCTTTCTTCATCTATATATTCGCTTTTCTTATCCATCCATACGACTTTCTTCATCTATCTATCTATCTATCTATCTATCTATCTATTCGCATTTCTTATTCATCGATACGCCTTTATCTATCTATCTATTCAATTTTCTTATCGATTATACGCATTTCTTCATCTATCTATCTATCTATTCGCATTTCTGATTAATCGATACGCCTTTATCTATCTATCTATTCAATTTTCTTATCGATCTATACGCATTTCTTTATCTATCTATCTATCTATATATTCACTTTTCTTATCCATCTATACGCCTTTCTTCATGTATCACTATTTATCTATCTATCTATCTATTAAGTCACTTTTCTTATCTATCATATACAAATAAAGCTAAGCTTGGAAAGAGCCTCTATAGATATGGCTTTTCTTATTTATCGATTTTCGTCATCTATTTATCTGCTTTCCTTATCTATCTATCTACCTATTCGTTTTCTTATACATCTATTCCTTAATTTCATCTATGTCGTTTTTAACTACTTTTTTTAATCATTTCACCCTAAACAAGGTAGCAAAGCCACTAAGACGCAAGGACTTATTGGGCGTGAGAAACTATGAAAATATGCACTGTCAAAGAGCAAGAACAATAAAAGAACAAGAATTAAAAATGCATAAGATAACGATTGATATTGCATTTAAATTTTTGAAGATCAAAATTGACTGCGAGGCAAGAAGCAGGAAGAGAGTTCCACAAGCGAGAAGTGCGAGAGAAGAAACTGTCATCATAAGACTTATGGTTGCATCTTGTCATTTCGACTGAAAAATAAAAGAACAAGAATTAAAAAATGCATAAGACAACGATTGATATTCATTTAAATTTTTGAAGATCAAAAAGTTCATCAAACAATTACCAGGAAGTTTTTTTTTTTTTATATATATGCGAAAGAAGAAACTGTCATCATAGTTACGCGGGTGGGAACGTGTCTTAAGCCAAGATGACAGGTCAGGGTCAATAAAATTGCCGATTCTTCTTCGGATTTTATCAAGAATCTCTAAATATACATCAGAAGCACCAGACCAGATGTGACAGCACTATTCAAAGCATGGACGAATGGTATAATTATCAGTATCTAAGAGAGATTCTAGCTAGACACATTGTCTCGCACGACACAGTGAACGAACTTTCCTAACAGCAGACCTTGCAATTGATTCAATATAATCTTTCCACTTTATGTCAACGGAAAAAGCTAGAGGAGGAGGCATAATGAGTTACTTTCCAGAAGGTTAGTATCAGTCATGCTGATGAAAGCAAAAAATCTTCTCTCAGACGATTAAGAGAGGGCGCCTTAACATTAGCAAGCTATTCTTTTTTCCAAGTTAACAACAAATTGTAGGTCATTGTTAGATTAGCTGCCAATTTGACTTACTATTGATACAAATGTAAATAGTTGTGTCATCAGCATAGATACCGAAATGAGAACTCAGGACATCAAGAAGGTCATTTATGAAAATTATCTATCTATATATCTACCTATCTATCTATTAGTTATTGTTATCTATCTATTGATTTTCATATTTATCTTTTTGCTTTTATTTATCTATCAACACATACATATGTATTTACATTTTTCTTCTCTCTCTTTCCCTTCTCTTTCTCTCTCTCTCTCTCTCTATATATATATATATATATATATATATATATATATATATATATATATATATATACAAAATGCTCAAACACTAATATTCCATGGTTATAATTTATTATATTGGAATCGTAATCACGATCCAATTGATTACGATTCCAATGTAATAAATTATAACCATGGAATATTAGCGTTTGAGCCTTTTATATTATATTGTTACTCTGTCCTGGACATTGAGTTCTACCTGGATTCTGTCCTCTTGCGATTTTATATATATATATATATGTATATATATATATATTGACCACTAATATTATCAATATCTATATATATACCAGGTGTAACAGCAAAATTGTCCAATTGCCAGATTAAGCTTTGAAACGTTGCATCTTAGAAATGATTAAAGATATATTACTGGAATTCTCCGAGGGTTTTATAACACTATTGGACACTACTTTGAACAACAAGATTGTATTTAGCTCTAAGAGGAAATGATGATCACTCTTCCTGTTGTGATCTCCAGAACCAGTTTTCCTCTCTACTGTTCCCTCTTTTTTAAACTTATTCACCGTTCTCTACGTGGTTCTTGGATGAAGATAGAAGCTAAAGTATGAATGTTGGTGCCATTACTGGTGTCTGTATGATCTTTTTCGCTTCACCATTGCTCAGTTGGAAAGACATAGTGAGGCTGAGACAAAAAGATTTTAACCTATTCTCTTTTTAGCTGAAAAACTCAAAAGATTTTTCTAAAGACAAATGGTGTCAAAATGATTAAAAGTCTCATCTAATAACCTGGAAGAAAGAAAGTCAGTTAGTTTAGTGTTTTTTAGTTATTAAACATTTTGTGGGGTTGTCCTATACTGTTACTCGATTTGAACAATTTTGCTGTTACTTGGAGCGGGTAGAATGGAGATCAACGTGTTTTAGTGGACTCAGCAATTTTAAATCTGCTTGTCTGAATAATCTTCAAGAAGCGAGAGCAAGATCTAAAAGGTCAGCCAGTCTAACAGTGATCTCATCTCACAATCCTCACACTTACTCCATATGTGGCCTCCTTTGTAAATCACTAGCGGGTCTTAAATGCCACTTAAGATTATCGCACAAAATTTCATAACTGAATCAATAAGCTGTCAGATCCTCATACATCGAAACCGACGGGAGAGTCCATTATTATATATATATATATATATATATATATATATATATATATATATATATATATATATATTACATTCACTTACATGCTGATACCCTTTCTACAATTACACTTGTTGGTATTATCTGCATTTGGTATTATCTGCATTTGCTTCTTTGGAATGACAATTATTACTCAGGTTTTTGTATTGATTTAAAATTTTATTATTATGTTTTTTAATTTTTTTTCCAGATTATCGTTACAACTATAGCTTAGTCTTAATGTATTTCTATTAAAAATCTTACTAAGTTGATTATTTCTGGGGAAGAGTTTCTCAATTTAATGGAGAAACTTCTGCCCTAACTTCGTATTAACGATTTGATTAAATGGGGGTGTGTACCAAATGATTTTTCTGTTTCTATTTTTATTCCTACTGTTGCTGTTATGATTTATATATTTGATACCAGGGCGCTTATAGCCGCTATTTTTTTTAGGCAGTCGAATCCGTTCCACTCACTTAAGTGCTAATACCCTTGGCAAAGGTATGAATCCGCTTATTTCCCCACCCCCCCAGACCGGGTTCTATAGACTTAGATGGCAACTAGTCTACCACAGAAAGAAATGGCGACCTACTGCGGGGAAAATCTGTCAGTCATGTATCATGCATGTCACATAACTGACTGAATGTTATAAAATTTACTAAAAGATATTTTTTACTGAAAGAGTTGCTGCTAATTCTACATCTATGAAGGATGGATTACGGATGGAGGGTGGTTTTCTAACCACCCTCCGTCCGTAATCAAACACATACCCTCCTTCATAGAATATAGAATATATATATATATAGGATTAGTGTTTATTTTCGTGTATGGTTGGAATGCATTATTGCCGACACAGTTTATCTGTTTTACCTTAAAATATAGTTTATTCTTTTTTAAATTACGTATTACCATTTCTTATAGCTTATTAGTATATAATGGTCCACTCTCTACGTGTAATTACATTAGTTTGTTTATTTAGCTTAAATATTGCTATGTATTGCCGTCCGGTTAGTAATATTAATATCATATATAAATATTCCATATTTTTAATTTTATCTACAGGTCCCCTTAAGAAGCTTTCTGAATAATAAAAAAATTAAATTTTTTTCTGTTAACTTTACGTCTGATTCAACAAATTGAACATATATTTGTCTACAATCACGATACCTTTGTCGCTGGCATATTTTCCTCAATCGTCAATGATGACATGTCTATGAAAAATAACTCACCCACCCCCACCCTCTGATCGTTCATTTTTATTTAGCGTAGGACTGGCATTTAATTGGTTAATCAAGAAATACTCACAAGTCTATTTTTAATTCTGACATTATGTCCCTCTCTTTTAACTTTCGGAAAATTGTCCACAACAATTTCTTTGTACTCCCTGGGTCCCCTAAAAAACTTCCTCACTTGACTTATGCATTGTCCACGGTATTCTCAGTATTTGTTGATTGATCCGCCTCCCCGTTACTATCTTTGTCCAGCATTGTCTGCCAAATAGGAGATTAGCATAGTAGGTCAGCTCTCGTTTTCTTTGTTTCTAACGAAATAATTTATTTTAGTAGTAGTAGCAGTAGTTGTTGTTCTTGTGAGCAAACATACTATTGCCGTAAGACATTAACCTGGGAAAATCTATAATCTCCATTAACGAAATACCGCAAGTCTCTCGTTACTCGCGACTTCTATGGCATATGTTCTGATGATTTACACCATTTCTAACCTTAAAAGCTAAGAGCCGCGATGCTATGTACGCTAGGTCGAATAATTCTCATTTACCTCTTATGTGCAGTAAAAAGGAAGTTCCGTTTGAACAGTTACTTTATGGAACAGACTCCAGAGAGGATGCTTTCCCGACCGCTACAACATTAACCTCTAAGTCTAAGGTTAGCCGTTATCTTTCCCTCATATCCTCATAAAAATACACTTCTTACTTCTGAATCTTACCACGCGTACAAAATTCTCCTTCAATAAACCTCCGCCTTGAGTGTCTTTTGGGTCTTTTATCGGGTGAATATTAGTAAGAAATAGCTATTTAGTTATTGCGATGAAACCTTTCTTTTTAATCACATTTAGAAAATTCTTTCTTCGTTGTATTCAAGACGTTTTGGGGGCAGGGTGTTAATATTCTGTATAAATTAAAATCACATTCATTGTCGACAATTGTTCAAAATATAACTGTCAAGTAACATATCATTTTTATTCAACATTTCTGTAATGAAGCCTTCCAAAATCAATAGAAAATAATCTTTTCTGTATTTTTCCTATATACCAAATCTCCGTATAAATAATAATAAAATTAGTATTGCACATTATTATGCTCCCGATAATTTCGGTTGAGCACTGTTGAAAGATAGGGTAATTCTAAACAGCAGCCGTCTCCGCTAATGCAAAAGCTCTTCATTAAAATGAATAGAGCACTATGGCTGTCTGACGTTTGTTTACATTCGTAAAAAATTCCTTCGCTAGAATTTCCCTCTCCCTCTGTTGGCGTTGATAGCTCAGGAGTAGAAACAAGAGATTTCTTTTTTAGACTCCAATTTTTTAGATTCCAGTTCCAAATGAGTGTTCATTCCGTGCGTTTTTCGATAATCGAATATCCATTTTCAGTGATCTGGGTTGTGTTATTGCAAATGGTATGTTATTAGGTGCTAGACCTACTTTTTAATTCACGAATACGGCAAGTACATTATGGCCGTGTTCGTAGTTGCTATTGTTAAGAGTTGTTTTCTTTTTTATCTACCGTTTTAATAAGTCAGTGGTGGTATGTCCGACCACACATTCATACGAGACCATTTAAACCAGTATAAACACGTACCAATTTCGATACCCAATATACTTGTCATGACGACATATGTGATACGCGTCTGTAACTTAAAAATCGTCTAAAATAACTTAAGCCTTATCATAAAAAAAACCTTAACAATATTAACGGCCCGGGCGTAATATACTGCTAGTATTCGAAAAATTAAAAAAATATATATTTATGCATATATATTATAATGAATATATATGCATAAATATATTTTTAAAATTCTCGAATACAGCCAGTACATTACGGCCGTGTTCTTTGTTGGTGACATTCATGTTTTTCTTTATATAGATTGCTTGATGGTAAAGTGGTTTTGCGGCTCGGATTGAGAAATTGAACAGCCGAGTTCGAATTCCACTCGAATTCGATACATTCACTTTACCGCAAATTCCCTCGAGAAAGGTAGGAATTTATCTCCTCTACTCTCACAGTCACCCAGCTCTGGGTAAATGCTAACACAGTGGGCTCTGTAGCCTTTGTTGGCGACCGTTTTAAGAGAATGAAAACTCTGGATTGAAACTAGCCATGTGAGGATTGTGCTCCATGAGACTATCTTTACCCGAGACGAACCAACTGTTGCCACGGTTGCAATATGAGGAGTGCAACTATGATCGTAATGAGCTATGGAAAATGTGGTTCGTATTAGGATGGTCATTCCATAAGCTGGGAAGAATATTGCGAGACGGGAGGATTTCTTTGGTAATGAAGAATAGAATACTGATCTATTACGTGACATCTGTCATTCTTTACGGCAGCTAATGTTGGACGATTTCCACAAAGATGAAGAAGAGACTCGAGGCAATGGACATGTGGTTCTACAGAAGGACGCTAAGGATATCATGGACCGAGAGTGTGAGCAAAGATGAGGTCTTAGAGAGGATGCAAGCAAGGAGGAGGCTTATACTTAACATCGGGAAGAGGCAGCTGAAGCTCCTAGTTCACATAATGAAGAAGTAGGGCCTGGAGAATCTGATACTCACGGGTCGAAAATAGGGAAAGAGAGACAAGGGAAAACATGCCTGACATACCTAGCGGCTTTAAGCAAGTGGATGACAGAACGTGGTCTGGGGGAGGTGGCAGAGGGAAGAAACTTGTTGATAGCTGCAAGGGATAGAAAGAGGTGGAGAGCCATAATCGCCTACGTCATGAAAGAACACGGCACATAGAAAGAAAAAGATTATATAGATATAAATTTAATTATACAGATATAATATTATATAATGTATTACCCATATATAATAAAATATGTATTTATTAAGATATATAAAATAGAAATATATGAAATTTTATTGAATATATGTATATCAAAATTTAACATGGTATACATGATATATTCGTCTCTGTATGCGCCAGCATTCTGACTGCATTCATATCTGTAAGTTGAGAATTAATGATAGTTTTGAAAACTGCGTGGTACGAGACCAAAATGTCAAATTTTGAAAACAGAACAAATTCGTAAGAAGGAATGAACGAAGAAAAAACTCATTTATGTAAACGTAATTTTTCCCGCCGTTTCTTGAGAACGCGGGAAAAGACAAAAGCAAAAATTATCACAACTGAAATGTCACAGGCAAAAACTCTATCTTCGTCTTTTATTCCATGAGAATGATTATTTTTTTCTGTTTTTTTTTTCTTTCTGCTTCGTTCTTTCTTTTTTTATTTCCTTTTGTTCTTTCTCAGTTTCTCTTTTTTGTTTTTCTATTTTCACTTTCTTTTTGTTTTTCGCTTACTTTTCCCTTATCTTTACTGTATCTCTTTCTTTTTCTATTTCTTCCTGTCTTTTTCGGCGTTTTCTTTTTCTCTTTTTTGTCTTCTTTCTGTTTTTCTTTTCTCTTTTTTTTCTTTCCATTTTACATTTTTTTTTCTTGTCTCTTTTCCTTTTTTCTTTTTTTTTTCTCTTTTTTCTTGTCTTTTCTTTATCTATTCCTTTTCTTTCGGTGGGCTATTTTCCTTTTTCTTTTGTCTCTTTTTTATTTATTCTTTTTCTTATTTTGTTTTTCTTCGCTATTTTTGTTTTCTCTTCATCCTTTTTTCATGATTTTTACTATTTCTTCCTTTTTCTTTTCTCCTTCTTTGCGAGTTTTCCCTTTCTTTCTTCTTTATCTTGTCGTTTTATTTTATTTTTCCTATTTTTCTTGTCTCTTTTTGCTTTTTTCTGTTTTCTCTAATTTTTCCTTTTTTCCTCTTTTTACTTCTTTCTTTCTTTTTCTTGACTCTTTTTTCTTTTTGCTTGTCTATTCCGTTTTTTATTTTCTTCTCTTTTCCGATTTCTTCTTTTTCTTATTTTATTTTCTTATTCTTTTTCTTTTTAGTTATATCTTCTTTGTTTCTATTTTTCTTTCTTTTTACAACTGCTTCGTTTTTAGTTTTCGTCTCCTTCTTTATCTTTTTCTGTTTGCTTTTACTATATTTAACCTTTTTTTTATGAGAATGGTATAGAATTTACTAACCTTCAGGTATTGCGTCATATTCGCATACATTTTCCTGTTTTCAGTTGGCTCGCGTTAGAACAAGTGTTCTACCGATTGTTCATTGTCTGTTGGTGGTAGAATTTTGAAAGGAGGCATGACACATTACCATAAATGAATGATAGATACTTAGGCAAATATCAGAGCAGTCTTTAAGTGCGTCTTCATTGAACGATTTGCAAAAGAACGCACTTGAATAGGATATCATACATGCGCGGGAAGAGAGAAAATTAATAAATGATAACGCATGCGTGTTCTTATTACTTAATAACGCGTGGATGGGTTTGTCTACAGTCAGATTTAAACATTAAACTTCTGAAAGTTCAAAGAGTACTTATTCTATGACACATACATCGTTGAATTAAATGAAATGTTTAGTGACAGTTTTACTCTTTTATGTGTCGTGTCCCTTCAAAACGAGGATGATCATGGATTTCGATAACTTCCTGTCTTTTCTATCACTTAGCAAAGTTTGTCGTTTTACCATTCCTCTCACTTCCTGTTCTCCCAACTATTTATGTTTAAGTTTGTTATGTAGGTTTCTCTCTTCTTCCTTCTGTTCTTCTTGACCTCAATATGTCTCATGAGTGTCAAATTATCCAAGCCTTCTTTCCTCATTATGTGCCCTAGAAATTTCAACTGTCTCTTTCTGATTCTACGTAGAACTGTTTTTTTTTTTGTTATCATTTTCTTCAAATTATGCTCCGACCATTTTATTCATAGCATCCTTCTGTAGGCACGGTAAAGGATAGCGGCTCGGATTGAGAGCGAGTTCGAATTTCGAGTTGAATGCTATGTGTATTTCACTTACGTGCGGATACCCTTGGGAAAGGTATGAATCCTTTTCTTCTCCCTTCAGCTATGGGTAAATAGGCTTCTGTAGCCTTGGGTGGCAACTTATGTAGGAGAAAGTAACTCTGAATTCAAAAGTGTATGGAGCCCTGGCGTAGCACATACTATACAGATAAAGGATCGTTCGCATTAGCTCTAAGAACGCGACTCTGCTCGAATGATGGTGATAAGAACCACGTACCTGTTGGCTCAAATCTTCTCTTCATTTATGGGATAATATTATCCAACACTCACTGCTACTAATATTCACTGCTATATAGGAGAATTGATATTACATACACCCTTGTGGAAATTAATTGAAACAAAACGAACAATTCCGTTATTATTTACTTTTCCGTATTTTCCCAGTGAAACATGACCCGATGCACATGTTAGTACTTCGTATGTCCATTCCACGAAGTCGTTCCTAGCAGACTGACCACAGATTGGATTTAAATCAGGAGAATTTCCGAGCCAGTCTGTAGTAGATTTGCTCACTGGTAACGCTTGCCATTGTGTTCGTGCAACGTTACAATTTTCGTACGCTTCCTTAGAGTAACGTCCGCCGTATACAATGGCCGTAGGACAACTAATCGATAGTCGAGACAATAGTGTCTGGCGTGATGAAAATCTGTTGCAATCGCGGATGATGCAATATTTTTCAAGGCGAAACAAATTTCATCAGACACCCCGAAAATAGATTTATATTGCTGCACACTACTGCAAATGACAGAATCTGAGGAAAAAATAGAAATCGATTCACTCAGGTGGGTCTAAAACTGACCGTAAGGTGAAAGCAGGGAAACTAAAGCGGTTGTTTCAATTAACTTGCACAAGAGTGTAGAAGCGATTCTGAGAGAGTTAGAAGTCCTACCAGGATTCATTAGTGGGGGCACAATCTTAACAACATAAGATATGCATATGACCCAGTGTTGATAACGGACATAGAAAAGAAACTACAAGAACTACTACCAAAAGTAATGAAGGAAATCGAGTAAAAAGGACTAAACATCAGTTGCAAGAAGTGAAAATGCATGTTTGTTAGCAAAGGGAACAACCCAACCTGCAAATTTCAAATTGGAGGGATCAAAATCAAACAAATACAGTAATTACAATATGTGGGAAGGGTGCGACACAGAAATCCGAAGGCGTATTGGATTAGCGAAAAGATGCCTTCTAAATACTAAGCAAAGTATTATAAAAAATTTCGTTAAAACAAAGAAAAGTGTGCTGAACTGTTACGTAATATCAGTCCTCCTATATGGCAGTGAATGCTGGACATTTTCCGCAGAGATGAAGGAGAGACTTGAAGCAACACGAATGTTCTACGGGAGGAGGGTGAGAATACCATGGACCGAACATGTGAGCAACGATGAAGTTTTATAGAAAAAGGAAACCAAAACGACAGTCATACTTACCATAAAAAAGAGACAGTTTAAATTTCCAGGGTACATAAAGAGGAAAGACGGCTTAGAAAATTTGATGCGCAGAGGACAGACTGAAAGCAAGAGTAACAGAGCAACAACAACGCATTACTTATCTAGAGAGCTTGTGTAAATGGCCGACAGAACAGGGTTTAGGAGAGGTAGCAAAATAAAATTAGTTAAGAACTACAAAAGACAGGAAATTGTGGAGAGGCATGATCGCTAGTTAATTTCTGCTAATTAAAGACAACACCAGCTAACTAAAGAATAACATGTTATTTGGATCTTTCGTATTTAAAATTACTTATTTATTTCATTCCTTTTCGGATTTTGGTGACATATTTTTCATTGTCTGTTCAAACGCTTGCCAGATAGTTAAATTTCTGGACTCGCTTGCTTTTGAAGTCTCCAACATGTCTCATTTCTTATATGAATAGATGAAACACTTTTAAAAATAGCATTTCATATTTTACTTAATATTTGTTAGTAAAGCCAACTGATTTATACAATATGTATATAGGGTGAGATCGATAAATTGTCGTCTATATTACGCAAAAAATGAAAAAAAAATAACAGATATATTTACCAAAATTACACAAAAATATCTTGAAACACTAAAGAGTAAATTTATTCAATAAAATTGTCATTAGCTTCAGCCACAGCCTCAAGACAACTTCGGAATCTCCTGCGGTCTCCTTGTTTAAGTTGGTGAATGTTACCATAATCCTTATCCTTCAGACTGTTTGGTGTTACAAGGAGTTTTATTGGTCTCTCGCTCAACTGCGCCCCACGCATAATAATCAAGGGGGTTGCAGTCCAGGGAGTTAGATGGCCAGATGTAATAGGTGATATGGGCGCAGAAATTCTCTGACAGCCATGACAGAATTTTCCTACATGTGTGGCATGATACAAAGTCATGTTGCCAGACATAGGGTCACCCAGCAGACACCATCTTAACCCAAGGCAGCACTACCTCCTCAAGGCACTTGAGTGGGCCCCTGTGTTCAGACTGAGGCCCTCACCAACAACCTCGGGGATTCCTTTCTTATTAGAACGATCAGAGGAGTTTTCCAAGTTTCTGTACCTTGGTAATCAACATTAAACTCATAGAACTCTTTCCGAATCCTCTTCACTTTTCTCAACTTGACACCAAAACTCTCTGAAACGTTCATAATGGAGCTTCCGGCGCGAATACCAAGCAGTACAGTATGCTCTTTTTTAGTATCGCTCAACTGACACTTCTATACTGTCCAGGCCACAAAATCAAAATCACAAAATCATGCGCGAAATTAAAAATATAAAATGGCGACAATTTACCCTGTATATAAAGAAACCATTCAGTCAACAATTTCGTTAATAAAATGCGAAAAGATGGTGTAGTTAATTACCCCAAAATAATTACGACAGTCTAGGTTAGAAAGTTGTTCACTAAACTGTTGTGTCGTAGGAACAGTCAGGCGTTGCAGTTTTAAAGCTTTAAACCTAACGTCTGTTATTGACTGAATAATAGTAAATTTTCAATACTTCAAATACCAAGCTGATATCATTTCGTCATCGCCGATCGAACCCAGAGTTTTCTCCAGACCCAATGAACGCTGGCACTCTCAATGAGGCTCCATGCTATTGGGCTTCAAGTTCACACCCAACCTCAAGTGAATCTCTTAAATACAAACCATTATTAAAACTGCTGGAAAATAATCGTTTCAGTCTACCGCTCTAGAAAGGACTTCGCCTTCGATAATGCATTATCTTTACAATAGCCAGATTGGGCCAACCATGAGGCATTACTGTCATTCCTGGTCTGCAGCTGCTCAATCCTCACTTTTCAGACATGACATATTTCAAACTTATTCTCCACTTTACAACATATTTCCCACAGTCGCAACGTCGAAAACCTATCACTATTCTGTAGCTATTTCCATGGCAAATGTTCAGATAATCTCAACTCATTCGTTCCGACGATTCCCAAAGTTAAAGCTAAGACTTGCCTCACTACTTTCACGGTATCGATTTACCTTTATTTTGTCCGTAATATAATTGTAAGGATGAAGTTCAACTCAGCTTTTATCTAAGAACTACATTTGAAACAGACTCCTGAGAATAATAAAAGTTAGCAATATTGGATAATAAGAAAAACTTAGCAATCCTGGAGAATAAAAAAAAACAATTCGAAATATCGAAGAATAAAAGAAGTTACCAATATTGTAGAATAGAAAAGTTAGCAATATTAGAAAAATAAAAAATTAGCAATATCGAAGAATAAAAGTTAGCAACTTTGGAGAATAAGGAACAGTAGAAATATTTGAGAATAAAAAATAAGTTAGCAACATTGAAGAATAAATAAAAGTTATCACTATTGGAGAATAAAAATAAGTTAGCAATATTAAAGAACAAAAACGTTAGCAATGTTGGAGAATAAAAGAATTTGTAGTGGTAAGTTAATACGCATTTGTAGATGTCTGTTTATTGCCCCGTGAATCACATGACAACACAATATATATTTAACGCAAAATACCACGAAACTTGAAATACAAGAAGAAAAAAATGGTTTTAAAACAATAACATTTATATTTATTTTTATGTATATTATGTATTTTAACCGGCCTGCGAAGGCATTTTGACCGGCTCGCGAGCCTGATTACCAATGACTCTATTTTTAACATGAGAGACGAGGCTTTCATCTTTTTATGACCCTTGGCTACATTAAAAAATAACAGAAGCGAAAGGAACGATAAAGTGAAAGAGGCCAGGCAGGGACTGACATGCGAGGTAGCAGAAATCTAAAGACAGTTAAACATACGCGCATTATACATACATGCCTCATGAATGTGTGGATGATACCGCATGTGTACGTACGTAAGTGTATATGATGTGCATGCGTAGGTTAAAGTTTTGTTGGTGTTATGTACCTTAGAGTGTGAAATATTTTTATCTGGGCTCACAAAAGCTAAATTAATCATAAAGCTGATAAATGCTGAATAAACTGTAGCTTTAGAAGAATATTTCAAAGAGAAAAGTTCTTGTTGCATGTTTGGAAATTTAGAAAATTTCGTACGTACGGGCATGCGTGAATATGCTTTTAGCGTCTGACCGCACGTGGTCGAGACGAGAATCCTTAAGGTCACATCTTCACAGGAAAAGGGAAGAGTAGAGAAGAGAAAGCAGCAAGCTTGTGTCTATTTATAATTAATGTAATCACGTGACAGGCTCACAGAAAATGGCGTGAAAACTTGACTTGGTCACGCACTGGAAAAATATTTGTACGTGGGTGGATTGCAATGCCCACTTGTGTGTTTATTGACCAATTAGAAGCTGATATTTCCTGAAAATATTTACTAAGCTGACTAGCCTCTCTGATCCACTTTTTGCACAAAAATGTACAAAATTCAACATTGATAAGAAAGTGGTAGCGGGATGCTACAAATATAATCATACTGTAGAATAAAAAAAATAGAAATATTGAAAAACAAAAAAAGTTAGCAATATTAGAAAATAAAAAATCTTAGTAATATTGTAGAATAAAAAGTTAGCAATATTGCAAAATAAAAAAGTTAGCAATATTGAAGAATCTTTTCAGTAGTATTTGTCTAAAAATGTGCATATGCCTACATCACATTGAATCACCGGTTCTCGTACAATTACAAATGTTAAGCAACGTCGAGTCAGGTAAGTACCTAGATGGGTAACCGCTCGGAAATACCTTCTGCTAAAGCTTGTATGTGTGTTTGATGTAATGGATAACGGCTTGGAATTGGAAATGGGAGATTGGTGTTCCAATTCCAGTCGGGTTCGTTATATTCACTTCCGCACAAATACCCTTGGGAAAGGTGTGAATTCGTGTATTCCTCTCCAGCTATGGGTTAATTAGTAGGGTTTGTATCAGTAGATCATTATTATCGCCAAAAGATTTTTACAATCTGAAAATATTCTCTGGCTTTAAATAACCTGCAAAGCAATGATAAGCCGTAAAAAACCATCCATCACCTAAAAATGAAGACTGTGCAGCAAGGGTCGGCAACCTACGACCCGCGGGACAGATCCGGCCCGCGAAAGCATATTAACCGGCCTGCGGAGGCATTTTGACCGGCCCGCGAACATGATTATCAATGACTATTTTTAACATGAGAGATGAGGCTTTCATATTTTGAACATGAGAGACGAGGCTTTCATATTTTTATGACCCTTGGCTGCATTAAAAAAAATAACAGAAGCGAAAGGAACGATAAAGTGAAAGAGGCCAGGGAGGGACTGACATACGAGGAAGCAGAAATCTAAAGACAGTTAAACATACGCGCATTATACATATGTACACGCATGTGTACGTACGTAAGTGTATATATTTGTACTCGTATGTATGGGTATATGTGCTTCGTTTTTGTTTGATGTATGTGTGTGTGTGGTTCGTTTGTGGAACAATTTTCAATAACAGTTTCAAACCTACACGTCATAATTTCATCTATTTCACTTCGGTTGATTTTTTTCACTTTGAAGTATTTTGACGTTCCTTGAGGAAAAGTAATTTTAGATTTTCTTTTGTTTTTCTGATTTCTCAATGTTTATTTTCATTATGGTTTTAAATATTTAGGTTGACAGGGGTCTGCACATGTAATTTTCCTTAATTTTTGATTAATGACCTTCGTCCGGGCCGCGACCCGTCATTATAACACGATCCGGCCCGCGGGGTCGAATGAGTTGCCGACCCATGCTTTACGGGATGTTTTGTTTAGAAAAAGAAGATATTAAATAATGTAATTTTGTTTAAATCAGTAAATTTTAAATTTCTACAAGCATTGCCATATTTTGCTCGGTTAACATTCTCTCAGTTTGTCTTTATTTCTTTGATTTCAGGTTCGACACACAATTCTCACAAAGTTAAACAAGCGGACCAGCGAACCACGTTTCCAGAACAGAAGCGCAACGACTCGTTGCTCCCGAATTTCCACGGTGAGTGTCCAGAGACATATCGTTTCACCGACCCTGTCCGGCAGTAATATGCACCAAGAATTGCTGACACCCCGAGTATCGTGGGAACTACGACCTTACACCGAGCAGCTCCATCGGCGACAGAAGCCTGACTCTATTCAGCGACAGTGATGCTGACAATGACACTTGCTACACGCAAGTCTCGTTCAGAGATACTCACATATGAACTTGTCACAAGAAAAAAATGAAGACATAATAACAGCAAGCTGGTGAAAAAAAATATATATATATATATATATATATATATATATATATATATAGTGTTTTCGATGTGTGACATGTAGAATTCGGCGAACGTAGGACCTTGAGGAGAACCCATAGATACGCCGTCAATTTGGGTATATGTTTCTTTATCTTGTGGGTCGTAGAAGGGAACTAGTGTGGTGCATATTAATAATAGTTTTTAGGATTGTATGTCTTATAGCAGGAAGAAGAATTGGGGGATGTTATACTTAGTAAATACGTCTATAACCATCCTTCAGTTCCCCCCTCCTACCACAAAACATACAATCATAGAAAAACTATTGCTAATATACCCACACAAGTCCCTTACTATGACCCACAAGAAAAAATATATGCCCAAATTGACGGCGTATCTAAGAGTTCTCCTCTAGATCCTGCGTTCACCGAATTCTATGTCACACATCGAAAATACTATATATATATATATATATATATATATATATATATATATATATATATATATATATATATATATATTGAATAATGTTTTGATACCACAAAACAAATATAATGATTTAAAGAAAATGAATTTCTTTTGTATGACCATTTTTTTTTTTTTTTTTTTTTTTTTTTTGCAGGACCTAGGTACCTTTCGGCCAACGCTTCATCAGGGTCTTTCGTTGGCAAATGATTTTAAAGAAACAATGAAAATGAAAAGAACGCCAAAATGGTATGGTTGGAACACGTCTAAAATTTTACGAAGATATATATACGTAAAATTAAAATAAATTTACGATTAAAATAAATGCGTAAATAATAAATTAATAATAATGAACCAACCTGAGCAGTAAAATAGAAAAATAAGTTGCTCATATATCAAAAAATAAATTTGGCCCAGGTCTTTGCCCTATTTATCTGAAATTACCTTGGCTAGGTAGAAAATGTAAACTTTTGACTGATAAAGTTTCGGATGTTGTTTCTGCTACCTTCTTTTCGGCCAAGGTACGTGTTGTCTTTGGTACTCGTACTGTTTTTCCGTCTTTTTCCAAGGATCGCTTGCCCTATCATAATAAAAGTTCGATTATATATAAATTTAAATGTCAGTGCGATGCTGAATATATAGGGCGAACATGTCTTCGTTTGGAAACAAGAATCGGACAACATGTACCCAACACATTAAATTAAATTTAGATAATCGCATTCGTGTTTCGCAATCAGCTCACGATTCGGCGATCGGGCAACACCTATTAGAAAATGAGTCATGCTCAAAACGTTTCACAATGGACTCGTTTTCAATTATATGCGTAGGCAGGTCCAAATATCATCTGTCTATTTTGGAAGCCATCTGTCTCAAATTATTTAAACCATCGCTTTCTAAACAAAAGAAGAATTTTTCACGATCGCTAAATTTATTTTTTTTTATATGAGCAACTTATTTTTCTATTTTACTGCTCAGGTTGGTTCATTATTATTAATTTATTATTTACGCATTTATTTTAATCGTAATTTATTTTAATTTTACGTATATATATCTTCGTAAAATTTTAGACGTGTTCCAAAATCCATACCATTTTTGGCGTTCTTTTCATTTTTCATTGTTTGTTTAAAATCATTTGCCAACGAAAGACCCTGATGAAGCGTTATTCTAAGGTACTTCAGGTCCTGCAAAAAAAAAATGGTCATAAAAAGAAATTCATTTCTTTAAATCAATATATATATATATATATATATATATATATATATATATATATATATATAATCTTCAACCAACCGTGTAAAAGACAAAAAACACTTTTATTATGGCTTTTTGATTGCCCAAATCATTAACCTTTCTCATCAACTACAAATACTCATGAATGTACTAATTGTGTCGTTTCGTTAAATCTTTCAAATGGTATTGTCGTTAAATATTTAACATGCTGTCCTGTAGCCGAATCAATGGTTTAAAACTTTATCGGGTTAAAATAGGAAAGCACATTGATTTAAGTTTTAAATATTATCTATATTAACCCATTTAACGTCATTTTGTGGGGGAGTGAAGGATATTAATGGGTCATAAGGAGAGCATAACAATCCTAACCTCTTCAAGTCAAGGATCAATTGTTATTCATCCTCCCTATCCTCATAATCTTTACTTCCTTCTATTTCTTATTGCATTCATATCCCACATTGCATTCATCATTACAATTTTAACAGGAGCGGTCTACCTTGAAGGGCTGTCTTATAATGGGCGGAAAAAAAAGAAAGCTATTAAAAATTCTGAATTGTTATAAACCTATTATTAATAGAGATTTTTTTTTAACTTAGTAATTGATAGCGTCTCTTTAATGCTATAATTAATACCGGATTTTTAATTGGTTTTTATAATTAATGCTGCATCTTTATTTGAAGTTTTAAAATTAAAACTGGATTTTTAATTGGAGTCTCATAATCAATACTTGATTTTTAATTGATTTTTATAATTAATGCCGCATCTTTATTCGAAGTTTTAAAATTAAAACCGGATTTTTAATTGGAGTCTCATAATTAATACTTGATTTTTAATTGATTTTTATAATTAATGCCGCATCTTTATTCGAAGTTTTAAAATTAAAACCGGATTTTTAATTGGAGTCTCATAATTAATACTTGATTTTTAATTGATTTTTATAATTAATGCCGCATCTTTATTTGAAGTTTTAAAATTAAAACCGGATTTTTAATTGGTGTCTTATAATTAATACTTGATTTTTAATTGATTTTTTTATAATTAATACAGGATTTTACGGTGGACATTAATAGGTTAATATTTCAATGTTTATTCGCATCACTGTCGAAATACAAACTTTTCTGAAGACGATGCGATTCAACATCGAAATATTTCGGAAATTATCAGCAGTTTCTTTTTTAAACAATATTGCTCCGATAACTGCATCTCTTCTTTATATACTCGCAGCTGATAAACGTTTCGACCGGTCCATTGTTCAGCCTTCGCCAGGTGTAATTTTTTCCCAGAGGGAAAGGACATTTTTTTCTCGTGTACAACACTTGATAAGAGCTTAAGAATAGATCGGCTGAAATATGTTAGCAACCAGAAGTAGACGAAGAGGGGGTTCGCCTTTCCTAGTAAAATTGTGTATATTAAAGACACTTTTCAAAATTATATGCAGGCTGCAATGGATAAATTGTCATCTAAATTGCGCAAAAATGAAAATAACACTGAAATCTCGTTTTAACAGACATATTTCACCAAAATTACACAAAAATATCTTGAAATACTAAAGAGTAAATTTATTCAATAAAATAGCCATAAGCTTCAACCATGGCCTCCAGACAATTTCAGAATCTCCTGCAACTCTTCTGGGCGATTTCCTTGTTTAAGTTGGTGAATGCTGAATAAAACTTGCGTTCAATACATCTTTAATGTTACAAGGTGCTTTGTTGGTATCTCGCTCATCTGCGCCCCACACATAAAAATCAAGCAGGCTGCAGTTCAGGGACTTAGATGGACAGATGTAACAGGTGATATGGTCGCAGAAATTGTCTGAGAGCAATGACTGGGTACTCCTGCTTATGTGGCATGGTGCAAAGTCATGTTGCCATACATAGGATCACCCAGAAGCCATCTTGGGCAGCACTACCTCCTCAAGACACTTGATGTAGGCCCGCGTGGTGACTCTGAGGACCTCAACAGCAAATTCAGGAATTCTTTTCTCATCAGAACGATCAGAGTGAGTTTTTCGATCGGCTGTACCTTTGTAATCACCATTAGAATCATCCAGCTCTTTCCGAATCTTCTACACTGTTCTTAAATTGATACCCAAGCACTGAAATGTTCGTACTGGAGCTTCTGGTGTGAATTCCAAGCAGTATAGCATGACATTTCCAAATTTCTGGTGGAGTGAATTGCGTCATGGTGCTCTTTTTCTCACAGACGCTGCCCAACTGACCCTACTATACTGTGCAGTCGACAAATTCAAAAACAAACAACGCGCATGCGCAAAACTAAAAATATAAAATAGCGACAATTTTTCCCATCGCACTTTGTATTGGTCCTTCTTTTCTTTTCATTTTTTATTTTAAACTACTGTTCGACTCCCTTTATTTTGATTATAACTTTGTCTGACGATATTAAAAGTAATAGATTTCATTTTTTATCCGAAATGAAATAGGAAATGAAAGATTTTACTGCCGTACATAAATGCAATTTAACACTTTCACAGCTGCATTTGCATAACATTGTTGCCTGGCTATGCTGTTCCATTTACTGAAAATATATAACGCATAGACACCACCATTTCCGTTTCGATCCAATACTCTACAGTCCAGACTAAGCTAAACGACATACCAACACAAATTAACATTAAAATACATCACAAACAAGTCGCATTTTACGCGACTACATGTTTGATCTTGTTTAAAAATAGCACTAAGCGCTAGTTAGTTTATGACACAAACGCTAGAGACCGACATTTCACAATGTCGACAGCAGACAATATCACTTTCAGTAAAGATGTATAAATACATATACATCGACAGCAAAGGGTTTCGATAAAGGCGTATAAATACGACTCGAAAATGTATGTATACGCCGACAGCAGACAATGTGAATTTTGGTATTGACGGATAAATACGAGGTGAAAACGTATATATACATCGACAGCAGACAATGCGAATTAGTCAAGACGTATAAATACGACTCGTAAACGTATATATACGTCAGCAGGGGACATTATGAGTTTCGGAAAAAAACGTATTAATACATCTCGAAAACGTATATATACGTCAAGAGCAGCCAACGTAAATTTCGTACAGGTATAAGTACGTCTACAGCAGCAGAAGTGTTAAGAAAATTAACCGCATTGGTTAGGGATATTTGAATAACTGATTCTGAACTTTCATTCTGATTTCGCGGTTTTAATCTGACTTGGAAAAGTTATGTATGGAAT